AGTGGAGTCGAAGCAGTTCTTGACGAAAGTATGGATAGATATGGAAGGTAGTATGGACCCGTACTACTGAAATCAGAGGATACGTACTCGATTCGAGAAAGGCCGAGATGAGACCGGGAAACTTGTAGTGTGTGCGTATGATCCCTCAGCAGTGATGAGTATTCTGATAATTGTTACGATATGTTTTCAGCATGGTGACATTGTAAGAGAGACCAATGGGCGGACCAGGCATCGGAGAGGGATCAAACTCGGGTTCAGGGTTCGAGTAGCTCGAGGAGCGGATGAGGGAGTTGATATCAGCAGAGGTTACGCGCAGTATCCTAGATTAGACTCCTGTGATCTTTGGCACGGTCAAGGAGGGTATATTGGAGATCTTGGATGAGAAGCTGGGAGCCTTTCATACCGAGATAATGGCTTTGATGGGAGCGCGTACTATGACATTCCGAGAGTTTAGAGCTTGCGGAGCGCCAGATTATCATGGGACTAGGGGCCCCATCGCTAGCAGCAGGTGGTTGGCCGATGTTGCCAACGCATTCCGTACGAGCAGGTGTCCCGAGGGGGACAAGGTCAAACTCGCCTCCTGTCTTCTGAAGGACAGAGCGAGGGATTGGTGGGAGGAGGTTGGTCATGTCATTGGTGATGATGTCGCGTTGGACGCGATGACATGGAGCGATTTCTCGACCATCTTCATGAGCAAAAATCTCATGATCAGTACCCGCTCTAAACAAATCGCACTTGACTTCCATTTTATACGTGAACAAGTTGAATCAGGACAACTCAAGATATGCTATGTTTCATCAATAGATCAGTTGGCGGACATCTTTACAAAACCATTGGCAAAAAGTTGTGTTCTTTTTCTTCGTTCCAAGCTGCAAGTCCGTCCCGCCCTTTAGCTTGCCGGAGGGTATTAACATGTGTATAAAAACTTGTATTTTGATATAGTCAGGTAGTCAAATAGTCAGTATAGTCTACCGTATAGTTAAGAGAGTTTATCTCTCAATTTAGTTATACTCCTCTGTATAAATTTATAGTTTTACATTGAATGACATAGACAACAGATTTTCTCGTTCATTATAACAACAATTTCAGTTGCAACAGTAGCAGCAGCAACGGTATCAGATTTCTCAACAACAGCAACAAACTTCACAATCAGTGGCTTCGCACTTCCACCTCCAAAACGTATGTCCTTCTTCTGGATATCATTAACCCTAATGGTAGAATTTGCATTTTGAATTACGACCGAGTCATCTTGATTTCATTCTTATAGTTGGTGGAGAATTTAGCAGATGCAATTGAGAATGGAACTCGAGATCAGCATATTTTGATACACTGGTGAGTGTTCTTAAAATCAAAATTTCCCTTTGTGAATCCAGTGCGATCGAAGTTTTGTATTTTTGACATGCTGCTATTACAACGTTCATGCATTATTCTATTGTACTTAAAATTGGTCCTTTTCTGATGCAATCAGAGCCCTAAAAGCTACCACTTTATCAATTTCATTGGCTATATTTTGTTTTCTTTGTACTATTCTCAATCACATGACATTTTGTTTTGCTTGAAGATTACTGAATTGACATTTTGTTTTCTTTATTGCCATCAAAGTCGTGGTATGTTTGTTGCTTGTATATAGTTTGAGATGTTACCTGTTGTTTGCTCTATCTGTTATATGAAAATCGGATAATATGAAGTAGAATGAAAGCATGCTAGATATGTTCCACCAAATGATTGAGAGAAACATTCTTTAAGAGCAAAAACGATACAATTTTGAATTATCTTTCTTCGTTGGGATTATTTAATACGATAGAGGGACAAAAACGTAAAGTTGATGAAGCTGAACAAATGCTAAATCAAAGAAGGTATGGGGTTTTCTATATTCTATTCATAGTTGTACTTTCTATTTTTTTTATTCTTATGTTTTATGATTCCAAGGAACTAATTGCAAAGTAAAGAAGTTCTGTTGAAGAACTTACAAAGTATGATTTGTAAGTGACTCGAGTATGAAGAAAGTAGGTTTGGCCTTGAAATACAAATTGCACATTGTTTTGATTATGAAATGAGTATGAGTATGTGTTCTTGTTATTACAAATATGGATTAGAGTGTAAATCTTCACTAACTGGGTTTTGGGCGTTTGTTAAACTGTGAGAAATGAATTTAACTGGATGCTTCTCAAATAACAACTTTAGTATGCCATATCATTTTAATTGGATTCATATCAAATTATGTTATCATTAACTATGCCATGTCATCAAAAGTATAATATTCTAGTGAGAAATAATTTGAAAATACAGTTTTATTTTATCATAAGAAAAAAGTGTTATAGTTTTGTCATAAAAAGGTCAAACATGTTCAAATAGTGTATATCCATGTTTTAGTCTAAAACTTTTGGTCTGTTAAACAAATCTATCAAGCTTATATTGTTCTCTGTAATCTATATTATAAAACAACCGTCCTTGTATTCTGCAACTTCATCAAAACACATGTTTTGACAAAAGATGCAAGCAGATAAACTTACGTTAACCGCAAATTTAGATATAAATGTACAAGTAATAGAAGATAATATTGAGGTTTACCCAAAAAAAACTACCTAACTACAAAAATATCAAAGAAAATCTAACAACTACCAAATCTGGCATAAGATGATTATTATACAACCTTCCCTAGGGCTTCCCTCTTTATATAAACATCATACACCATTATATTCAATAATTTTTAATCTTTTGATCCACAATAAATCTGGATGAGGATATGGTTCCTATTTGAACTTTTGGTAGCCTTCAACATTCCCAAAATGTATTTAAAGTAATAATTAAAGTGATTTTATTCCCGCTTTGCGGGGGCATAAATTGATGTAGTGTTATTCTCATACAATGATGGTTCTAGGCCATTATTATTTAGCTTTTGTAGATCTACTGGAAGATATTTATACCTCTTGTGTAATGGTCAAAGTAGTCAAATTTCTAATCAAGGGTAAAACCTGCCAACATGTTACCCCTTGTCTAATGGTGAGAGTAATTGAATTTCAAATGAAAGGTAAAACCTTGCCAACATATAAAATAGTTTTGTGATAATTTGTGAGGGTCAACGTGTTTTCTAATTGTAAATATTTAATTATTTTTATATATATATATATTTGACCAATAAACTTAAATGTGTTAAAAAAAATAATTATAATCAACAATTATAAGGATTTTTTACTTTTCCGACAACCAGTAAACTTGTGAGGGCAACTAACTTTTATAATTGTAAACATTTAGTCTGTTTACTTTTTTATATACATTTGACCTATAAATTTACAGTTAAGACCAAATTTAGCTAAAATCTATTTAAAATGTATCTAAACATAATTTTATATTAAAAAATCCAATAAGTGTATCAAACTTTGTAATCCAAGAAGCGCATCTAGGGTTGTAAACGAATTGAACATTCGGCAAACAATTCATTAACCGTTCGGCGGAAATGAACGAACACGAACGATGTTCTCGTTCGTTCATTTTCGTTAGTGACCGTTCGTTTACGTTCATGAACGTTCGTTTGCGTTCGTTCATTTAGTAGAATGGATGTTGAATTGAAAGAGTGGATGTTGGATTGAAGGATTGGTTAGAAGGGAAATGGTTTTTGACTTTTTGAAGTATTATTTGATTATTTTTGTATGGAATGACTAACAACTAAGTAAAACTTTATTGTAGTGTTATCTTTTTGTCGAACAACTAAGTAGAACATTTTTATTGTATGGAAATGATGAACATGTGTTTGTTTTCGTTTAAGTTCGTGGTTGTTTATCTATGTTCATTTAAGTTTATTTGTGTTTGTTATATGTTTGTTTAAGTTCGTTTGTGTTAGTTTATGTTCGTTTGTGTTCATTTATGTTCGTTTATCAACTAAACGAACACGAACACAATAAATTGTTTAACGAACAAACAAGAACATAAAAAGTATGTTCGTTTAGTTGTTCGTGTTCGTTTGTTGTTCGGTTAAAGTTAAACAAACAAACATGTCTGGTTCGTTAACAGCCCTAAGCGCATCCAATCAATCACTTTGACAACCTACAATTTATGCATTTTTTATAACGAAGCTTCAACCGTGTTATAACTTACTATAATTTACTAATTTAGTAAGTCATACTACCTTAGATGATGTGCAAAGCTTTTGATCATTTAGGTGTTGTTTGTTTTTTGGAAAAAAAAAACCTCTTCAAACCTCTTACTGCTGCGCGGCGCAGCACACGCGCAGCACTTTTCATCTTGCAGCTGTTTGTTTTTTAGAAATCTTCTGAGTCAAAAACCTCTGCATGTGCTCTGTTTGGTGCAGCACTTATACTGCCTCTTCCAACCTCTTCTTCTTTTTTTATTGCTGAAATTTTGATTATATGTTATTAAAATTTTATTTCACATTTTTTCCCCTTTTTTTTTCGTTTATTCTTATTGAATTTTATTTTCATTTTTTTTATATTCAATAATGATAATTTCTTGATGAAATATCATTATTTTTTACTGAAAATATCTTTATTTTTTGTTGAAATATCATTCTTTTTTACTGAAATATCATTAATTTTTACTGAAATGTTATACATTATTAAATTTTACGTATTAAAAAGCTATTTTCAGTTTATAAAATTAGTTTATTTTAATTTTTTAATATCTGTATCAGTATGCAGATGTTAAAAAAACAAATACGTTTCTTATTATAGTCTGCAGCCGTTTGGTCCAGCTCTTCTACTGCATAGGGTTGCAGAGGTGGTACACAGACTTTGAATTTTTGCTTCAGAAAATCAAAGAGCTCAGTCGTACCTTAGATCATCTTCTACGAGGATGCACCAACTCCAGACAATTCGACACAAGTACGTGCTCAAATCGTGCTATTGGATGGCTTGTCAACCGCGTTCTTGTCCTCTACGCTCGTATCTGTGTATGGAAGATCCGAACGTCTCCGTGATGCTCGAAGAGTTTTTGAAGTTGTCCCAACTAAATGCCTTTTCAGCAACACAATTATTTGGAATTCGATGTTAAGAGCTAATGTCATGAATGGTCATTGTCGAGAAACCCTTGAGGTTTACACCCGCATGAGGCATCTTGGCGTTTTAGCTGATGAGTTTAGTTTCCTTTTGGTAGTGAGAGCTTGCGCTAAGATGGGCAATCGATATTCATGTGCTTTAGTTCATTGCCATGCTTTACTAACAGGATTCCAAGATAACCTTCACGTTGCAAATGAATTGTTGGCCGGTTATGGTAGACTTGGTCAAATGCCTCTTGCACAGCAACTGTTCGACAAAATGCTTGTCAGAAACCACATCTCTTGGAACACTACGGTTTCTGGCTTTGCTTTCAACAATAACTCCAATGGAGCTCTCGAGATGTTTTAAATGATGGAACTTGAGGGATGGGAGCCTGACCTTGTGACATGGACATCTTTGTTGTCTAGTCATTCTAGATGTGGTCACCATCAGGAAACATTGAGATTATACAATGTAATGAGAAGTAAAGGCATCAAAGCAACTGCTGAATCACTTGCTGTGGTTGTATCTGTATGTAATGATTCTAATAAGGGTAGGAAGCTTCATGGTTATGTCATAAAGACAGGTCTTGAAAACTATTCATTTGCTAAAAACTCTCTTCTATGCATGTATGGAAGACACAGTTTTTTACAAGCTGCTGAATGTCTTTTTTCAGAGATTGAAACAAAGAGTTTAGAAAGTTGGAATGGTTTGATTTCATCATATACTCAACTTGGTCTATGTGATGAGCTTTCTCTACATTCTTATAGTTGAAAATTTCATAAGAAAATATCAAGCCTAATGTAATAACCTGGAGTGATATTATAAGTGGATTTGCTTCAAAATAACAACGATAATAAATTTTATAGTCAAACAAAATCCTTAAAACAATGCCTTCAAACAAAAAACTGAAATTATCAATCCACTACAATAGTCCATTTGATGCAAAGTGCTCTGAAAATGAACAAAAAAAAAATTAGAAATGTCATAATTACATATTTAAATTCAATCAGATCAAAGATGCTCAGAACACTAATATCCAAAACATCAGATTTTCAGAAACATTACAACTTTGTAAGCAAACATGAGAAATATCAGATTTCAAAAATCATTTATTAAAACCACTATAACTTCAAACAACTCACATAAGAAAAAACAATTTTCACTTATCATATTTTCAAAAATCAGAAATCAGATTTCAGAATAATTGTAATTTCAGAAAACTAATATCTGAAATTTCAGATTTTCACTTAATGAGATTTTCAAAAATGAGATATGAAAACTGTTGCAATTTCAGAAAACTAACATCATAAATATCAAAATCAGGACAATTATAACTTTAGAACATAATACTATTCTCCCTTACAAAATTGCATCCCAAAAACTCAAAATGACAATTATAGTTTTGTTATTTGATGAATTTTTTTTTTTATCTTCGACGCCTCATCCTGACTTCTGGGAACTTAAGAGGAGCTGGAAGAGTAGCCAACATTATACTATTCTCCCTTACAAATTTGCATCCCAAAAACTCAAAATGACGCCTCAAATCACCAGTTGACATTCTCAAATCTTTAGCTATGTCTGAAAATTCGGTTTTGAAATTATCAGCAAACAGAGTAAGCACAAGAACATAGCTAATTAACAGATCCCTTTTGTCATCAGCCAGCCTTTTTGATTCTTGATTAGCAAACATATCATTGAACTTCTGACTCAATATATTTGGCAACTTATGATCCTTTGCAGATGAAAAACCATCCATCGAATGCTTATCTTTAAACTTTATAAGATGATTGATATACGAAAATATGCATGCCAAACTCTCCTTCGCCTCCTCATCCTAAAATATCATAAAAAGAAATAAGAAACACCTTCAAAAAATGACAATGTTTTCAATGGCATAATTGTAAATTCCATACCTTGACCTCCTCTATCTTATGAATTCTGTTGCAAATAAAAACAGGGAACCCTTGTGTTGTTATATCCACCCCTTGTTGTAGAAGCTCCATAATGTCTAGAAGATATCTCCACTCTCCCTTGAATATAATCTTTTGTAGAGGATAAGCTTGCTGAGGTGTCGTTGCTGACATGTCATGAGGTGGAATATTACGTGAACTAGTAACTGTTGCACCAACTTCTAAAGCTTCCTTGTTAACTTTAGCTTCAGCCATTTTGTTATTAAGATCTTCTTGGGCCTCAGGGTCACGGTTTGCACGTAGGGCCCGCTCTTTCTTAGCCTACATCATCATTATACAAACCAAAAATGGAAAAATGAAATTAATATTAAAAAGAATTTGATCGCCTTAACCGAAATGTTAGAAGAAATAACAAGTTTTGCATACCGCTCTTTCAGATTTCTTAGTTGAAAAGTTGTATTTTGCTTCGGTGTCTTCTGCTGTAACTTTATTTTCATCTTCTTTAACAGTTTCATCTACTGGATTTTCTTGATTCTCAAACTTTGGTTCCAATCTAAAGATCTGATTGAAGAAAAGGAATCACATTAAACACAAAGAACATTGTCTATGAAGTTATAACCTAAACTGGAATTTGTAAAGAAAATGTAGAGTACCTTGTTGGCTTCAATCTGAACAATCTTGAGTGTCTGAGTCTGTTTATCAAGAACCCCAAGAGCATAAGAACATACCTGAGGAACTGCTCCTTCACCAGAATAATTAGTACCAATAAAGTTCATCTGAGAAGATTGATTAGGGCTTACAACAAGTTGTAACCTATTACTACGTTTCACATTTTTTAAAACCCTAATTTTAGGTTTTTCTGTTCTTTGGCGCTTTTCTGGGTCATATCCAGATGGGAAGTATCCAATTAAAGGTAAGGATTTGTCAGAGCTTCCATTGATGGTCTCAATTTTGACCTCAATTGTCTCATCTCTCTTGCGGATTTTCTTGTTTTTATGTTTCTTCTTTGAAGATTGTTCAGGGGTTGTTTGGGGTTGCAGGTTGTTGTCTTCCTCCATTGAAAGATCCACCATGTTCTTTTTGTGCTTCTTTCCCATATCTAAACAAATTGGATTTTAAGAAACCAAAACTAAAATTAGCAAAATATTTACTAACAGAGTAACAGTAAATAGATAACATTAACATTAAATGGAGAGCGAAGAAATCAAAGACAGTATAGATTAAATATATGATCGGGTTGGCTCAAATGGTGTTGAATACAAGTAACATTATAACTCTGATGGGTGCTTAGTTGATTAACTGGTGTAAACATTTAGAATTTGACTGACGTTTAAGCCATCAAATTAGTTCAAGGTCTCTTTCTACTTTCTTTTGGCATTTTAGTCATGAAATTAGTTCAGCTAGACAGCTACTATACACTACACAGTAGTCAATCAAATACATACAATCACGGAATGCCCACTGTGGCTCCGATTAAGGCTGTAGTTGGCTGAAGTCTCAAGTCTGAAGTATGAACAACAAACAAGACATTGGCCCCGAGTAAGGATCCGATTAAGTTTAAGTCACGCAAAAAATAATAACAATCAAGGTGATTAAGGCTCCAATTTGGGGATTATGTCATGAATGCCGACTGTGAGACTCGAACTCTCGATTATCGAAGTAACCATAACACGAAAAACGTAGAAAACAAAGAATAATATCAGACCTGAGATGGAGGGGTGACGCTTGTGATGATGGTCGGTGGGGTGCCGGCCTGTCGCAGACGGAATCCGTATCGTGAGTGTTTCTTGGCGAGTTGCAGGGCGGAGGCGGAGCACGAATAGATTGCGGAGTGCCGATACCGGTAGTCCGGTAGTATACCCTAAAAGAAAGTTGGGCTTAGCGCATAGGCTTCAAAATTCATTGTTTTATGTTCTCATAATTTGGGCCAAGTATTTAACTATTTTCAATTTCTTAATGGAACCAAGTATATAATAGTTATTGTTTATATATTCTTTATCTTGATTAACGTATAAATTTGATCCAAGAGTATCTCAATTTCGTTTTGGCTTTCATTTTTTTTTTTTCTACAACTCACTTTTATTAATCGTGGTCATCCTTCAAGATTTTGTGGAATATAATTATATGTTATAACATTATTTTATATATTAAGTACCCGCTAATTTTTTCAAAAAAATAATTACTTGACAAAACTGCAAAAATGGTATAGTTTGTATTTTTTGAGGAAAAAGGTACAAACCTTTCAAGTTTTGGATTGGTAGATAGGTTTGCATGTACATTTTGTCCTTCATAAATTTGAAATTACTATTATATCCGTATTTATTTTTCTTTTTCTTTCTATTTATGAATATTTTATTATTATTGAATAAAGAAAATGACTCACATACCCACCCACGCCCACCATTCGCATCCTCTCTCTCTCAAACACACATATCCACTAATCACTCCGCAAATCCCTAACCTCAAAAACTCATCACCGTGTCCCTCAGTGAGAGTGTGAGACTGCCATCGCCGGAGCAATCTTGGCCACCATCTCCTTCACTAGAACTGTCATCACCGAAGCAACCTTGTCTGGAAATCGGAACCAAAATTAGATGTATGTGTTCTTTAGGGAAAGGATTTTTTGTTTGTCTTCTGTAACAATCGTTATTCAGTTATTTTACATCATTGATCCTTAATATGAAATGTTATTGCAAAGTTGGTCCCTTGGTGCATTAATATTGTTGAAACATGAAAAAGTGAACCTCTATCAATCACAAGTATGAAGATCTGAAGTCAGCAGTTTCCAAGATTGATGAAGTCCGAAATAGAGATGGAGTCCAAATGAAGATCAGTCCAAAATGGAGCAAAGATTCGAGATTAGTCTGTCTGCTTGAATATTAATTGTTTCTTGTCTTATTCATGATATAACGTTTCATAAGACTTATCTTTTTGTATCTTTTAAATAGTCAGTTGTTAGCAGTTGATTATTAACCAGTCCTAGGAATGTCTCTTAAGTTTGTACGATGTACCTCCTTTGTCTATTTAAGGAGTGTTTTGAATGACAAGAAAGAACGTGAATTGTTACTCCAAAGATAGAAAATTTTCTCTTTAATTCACTTTCATTTTTCTCTCAATTCAAGATCTTTCACAACATTCTTCTTGTTCATTTAATGTCTTTACATTGATTATACTCCTAGTTTACTTCATTTAATATTGATTACTTTGTTAAATATGTCATTCAAGTCTTGGTATTACCAGACTTGACTGGAACATCCAATTAAGAGCGGACATTGATCTTAAAGATTAACTCAAGGTTTGAGTTTTCAAACCTTTTCCTTGCGCATTGTTTCTAGTACTCACAATTGGTATCAGAGCTTGAGTGCCTATCCTTTGAATCCATGAGAACATATTATAGTTTATTCGAAATTACCTTGGTATTTTGATCATTTTTGTGTTCACGATGAAAGTTCTTCT